TGTCCCTGGGTCAATGCTGATGGGACGTTGTATCCTGGAGTCGGTGCTGATGGGAGGCTGTGTCTGCAGGCGGTGGACACGGTGGGGGAGATCCTGCTGTCCCTGAGCTACCTGCCCACAGCCGAGCGCCTCACCGTGGTGGTGGTCAAAGCCAAGAACCTCGCGTGGACCAACGGCAAAGTGACCGCAGGTGAGCGGCGATGCTGGTGGTGCAGGGTCCGTTGGTCTCGGGTGGGCTGGAGGGGTGCTCTCACCCGGGTTCAGACAACCATGGAGTGGTTTGGGTTGGAGAGACCTTCAATACTCATCTGGTCCAACCCCCTGCAATGAGCAGGACACCTTCAGCTAGAGCAAACCTCTACTGCATGACCTTGAATGTCTGCAGGCAAGGGGCATCTACCACCTCTCTGGGGAACCTGTGCCAGTTTCTCACCACCCTCATAGAACAGGGTGAAATAGAAACCCCCACCTCCTCCTATCTGCCTGTGTGCACTCGGGGCGGGGAAGAGGAACAAACCTGGAGTGATTCGGGAGGAGAAAACAGCACTTTTCCAGTCATCTTCTAGTGAAGTTCTGGAGAACGTTCCCACCACTCAGACCAAGCCGCACAAATGTTCTTCCTTTAATCCCTAATGTCAAATCTATGAACTTACCCCATTACACCACACGGGTGTTTACTGGAGAGGCTCCCGTTGAGGACAGACCCCCCCAGGAAGGTCTCCGTACCACAGGGCAAGCACACACTGACCCTGGGCCTTTTCTCTCCCCCACCCTCGCAGACCCCTTCGTCAAGGTGTACCTGCTGCAGGACGGGAGGAAGATCAGCAAGAAGAAGACAGCGGTGAAGAGGGACGACACCAACCCCGTGTTCAACGAGGCCATGATCTTCTCCGTGCCGGCCATCGTGCTGCAGGTCTGTGCCCACCCGGGGAGGGGGGCACATCCCATTGCTCCCTGCATCCCTGCACTGGGGAGGGGGTCCTGGGGTCTGGGGGGAACACGTATGTGGCTTGGGGGTGTACACGTGGGGTAGGGGCAATAGAGGTGTGTGGGTTTTTGGGGGTGTATGTGTGGGGTATGGCTGTTGGGGGGTGGATGTGTAGGTTTGGGGTATAGGGGGATGCAGATGTATAGGATGAGGTTGTGTATGTGGATGGGGGCACTTATGGGTTATGTGCAGGTGGGGGAAGCGTGGGGGGATGTGT